TCTCTCTCTCTCTCTCTCTCTCTCTCTCTCTCGCTCTCTCTCTCTCTCTCTCAATGCATTGAGTTAAGTGATATTAATGCTCCGCGGTGCACCACTCCTGTCTGCTTCTGTACGTCTAATGAAGATTAAACAAAAACTATCGTGTCATTTTCACTGTTCTACATTATAATGCTTAATATTTATTAGCAGGATTGTTTTGCGCTCACATTCAGTAAGAACTGCAGCGATTTCTTCTTGAGGAGATTTTCAGTCAGCGCGGCGGAAATGTGTCATCTGTAATAGATTTAAGTTGAACCGCGGTCCTAGCGCGTGCCGAACCGTGTGTGGAGAACCTGTGGGTCGTCAAACAGACAGCAGCTAGAGGTTAAAGTCTTCTTGGCATCGGTTCCTTCACAGCCATCTGATTGCTTCTTCTCCCATCGTCCCAGTGCACTACTTTTGTGTTTGCTGAGTTGTGATTGGCTGTGGGAATAAGACGGTGGTTTCTTCATCTGCCGGCGCAGTGCTCACCCCAACACAAACACTTTACGAGCGGCCGGTTTCCCAGAAGCATCCCCGTGTCTGCAGATGATTTCCGTCTGATCTTGAGCCATGTGTGTTTTATGCTGAGCTCCTAGAATGTAATTAATAATTTAATGGGAATCATGTCGAGCCCCAGGTGAACGCAGCAGTAGATCGCTCTGCTTCTTGCCCTCACTCGCTTTCAGTAGCTTCAGCTGCTTTATCTGCAAACTCTCTGTTCTGACCAAGCTGCAACCTCCCGCTCTCTCTCGTGAAGCCAACAAGGACGTAACTTAAACTGCAATTCATCGACTGGCCGCTAGAGGCTGGCTGCAAAAGGGAGTCAATCCCATAGACTCCCCATGTTAAAATGCACAACTATACAGCAGAAAAAAACATGTTTACAGCCTGGTTCAAAAAATGATTTTGGTCTATATAGCTAATATTGCCCTTCATGACAACTGCATACAGCAGGCATCTGATCTGTGAGTTGTGTAGGGTGAGGCCAGGGGCTGCAGATCGCTCCAGACTGCTCGCCAGTTCATTGATGTAAATGTCTCTGTCTCTCTGTGTCTCTCTCTCTCTCTCTCTCTCTCTCTCTCTCTCTCTCTCTCTCTCTGTCGGTCTCTCGGTCCATCACAGCTCCGTTCTCCAAGCCGCTGGTCACCTGGGGCCCAGAGTCGGCCCTGAAGCCCGGCGATGCGGTGGCCCTCAGCTGCGTTGCGTACGGAGGTTATCCTGAGGCAGAGGTGCTCTGGCAGGACGGAGCTGGACACAATCTGACCCACAACGTCACCGTCTCACAGGTGGCCAATGAGGAGGGTCTGTTCAGCGTGAAG